CACGACTAGCCTGAACAAATTGCTGTTGTGTTGTGGATAGACTGGACTTGAGAGTACCTATCTCTTTCCTAAAATAATAATTATAATTCCAATTACACATCTCCTTGATCATTCCTCTCTCACTCTGTACCTTAATTTCTCTAAATCAACAAAATGGATGTGTTCAATTTTCGACTTTTCATTTGAAAACTCCTCCTTTAGTCTTCTGGAAGAATCTTCATGTAGCTTGAGGCAAGCTTGGCGGCACCTGCAAAAAATCAAGTTGGAGATTTGCTGCTAGAACTAATAATAAAATTCACTCACTGTTCTAAGCTCGTTTTTAGCTTAGCCTCTGATACTGCTTGCTGGCAGTCAAGCTGCTCCTCAAGCCTGTTAATATGACTACGATAGTCTTTACAAGCCTTTTCATTTTCTGCCTTGGTATTGTCTAAAACTAACTGAAAATCAAGCAATAATCTTTTATGCATAACAATCCTGGTTGCCTTGCATACCTGCAGTTGTTGCACAGATTCTTCAGCCTGCATAACTCTCTCTTGCTGAAAGAGAAGCTGTGTTGTCAAATCCTCCACTTGTGCTATCAACTCCCTTCTCTCCTTTTCCAATTGACTAGAGTGTCCATTAGCATCAGTGACATGTTCCTTCTCAACTAGACTACCATTCTGTGTAATAAGGATGTACCATAAAACTAGTCACTATTAAGGTGAGCAAGGCTAGTAACTAACAGAAGATGTAGATTCCTCTTTGCTTATTGAATTTTTGACATTAATTGGTGCTGCCTGCATACAAAGAGATGAATCATTAAAAACATGTACATGTACTTCAGGTATTGGCGAAGATGATGTGGTTCCTGAATTATGGGACGCTAAATTTGACAACTCTATTTCGTGCTGTTTCCTCAACTCTTCAAAAGCCGCTTCATAGCTCAAACGCAGTCGCTGTATTGAATCTGTCTGGCTTAACTCTGTCACCTACAAATATACCAATGATATGAAACAAAAAATACTAAAACTAACTTGTAATGATAGTGACTGGATTGTTTTCTGAGCAGAATCAAGCTGAAGTAAGAGCTCATCTTTTTCTTTCTGCATCTGCTCCATCTTCTGCGACAAGTCTTTGTTTTCTATTACTTTCTTGTTTAATTCATCACCCACGTGTCTCTGGCTCTCAAGTTCCTCCATTAGTGCCAATTTATCAGCCTCTAACTGTCTATTCAAGTGCCGCAGTGTACCCAACTATAAATAAACAACACTGATCATGCATGCACACCATAATGCATCATGGTGTTAATTAATAGGGATTGGGTCTTAATTTTTTTCTGTAATTATGCATATAAGCAAGTATTTACAATGTAGAGGTAAGTAATAATAATACCTTTTTCTCAGTCTCTTCCTGAAATGCATTAATCTGTTCTTCCATTTGCTTCATTTGATTACATTTACTATAATAAAGTGTCTCTAGCTGTGATCTTCCCAAGTGATTGTAATGTGTGCCTGTCACTCCATTAAAGGTATCGTCTCCCTCAGTGTATGCTTGACTGGTTCCGTTAAAGACGTCTACTGGGAGTACAGACTGATATCCTAAAGCAGTAGCGTTGCTTTGAGGAGGGGGAGGAGGAGAATAAAATGAGGAGTCTTCTTCTTCCTCGCTGTCTTCTAACAAATCGTCACATAGCTCTTGATTGAAAAGCTCCTTTAGCTTAAAAATATTATACACACATAATTATGGCTCTCAATTAAAAGATAATTTAAGATTATCATACCTCTGCTTTAGCAATTGCTTCATCTTCAGACTCCTTTTAAAAAAGAATAAAAGGTAAATATAAATGAGATAGTACTAACCCCACCAGACTGGATTTCAAGGACAAGTTTATCATTATCAAAGACCATGCTACCTTCCATGGCACCTTTTCTTTCCCTGTTGCCTAGCACAAAAATTAGCCACACCCCTAGCAATTTTTATTACGCAATGTTACGTCACAAACTGAAACTTCAAACTTGTATGTCTTTTATCTTTATGAACTTAAAGGAGCAGAGAGAGAGAAAGAAATAATAGTGCTCAGTGAATAAAGCTTGCATAACAAATATAAATCAATTAATAGATATAATGACACAACGAAAAGAAGTCAAACAAGATCTCATTTAGCATTGATCCATTCTTTCACTTTCGAAACAGTCTTTTTACTGAAAGAGTCCAACTTCCCTTGAGACGACTGCCCGGAGAGGAAGAGAAAGGAGGCAGAGACACAACGATTCCATCCTTGATAGAAAGAGTGTCTAACAGAACTTAATGTCTGGGACTCGTGAGTGCTTGAGAGAACAGATGACATATATTGCTTTACCTCCTACAATAATAGCAACTTTAAATCTAGGTCTAGTTCATTGTGATTAATTATGATTCTGCTTACAGGAAGTTTAAGATCAAATTGGTTTTCAAGTTGCTTCTTAGATTTTAGATAAGGAACTTCTACTTCGCTCCCATCATTCCAGACTCCTGCTTTAACGCTGGAATAGCCAGCACCACCTGCAACAAAAAGACGTACCAAAGACCCCAACGCCGCCATTTTATCATAGATAATAGAGTAAATGAATTAATAATCATTTAATTCATTTAATATCTATGATTTTATTGATAATAAACGTTAGCCACGCCCAAAACAGGGTCACGCCCAAAATGGCGGATTATCCTTTAGGGCAGCTTCTTGAAGCAATCAACTTTGCTGCTATTAAACACTCAAAGCAACGAAGGAAAGACGAAGACAAGACTCCATACATTAATCATCCCATTGGAGTTGCCTACTCGCTCTGGAAGGAAGGAGGAGTCACTGACTTGGCTACACTTCAGGTAAAATTCAAATTTGAGGTTTACCATTATACCACTGCACGTAAAAATTATGACATTAATAATTGCAGGGAGCTATACTCCACGATACAGTTGAAGACACTGACACTACACTGGATGAGATAGAGGAGAAGTTTGGACCTGAAGTGCGATCTATTGTTGATGAGGTCTCAGACGACAAATCCTTACCAAAAGCTGAGAGAAAACGTCTACAGGTAGATATATATATATATATATATGAGCAATGTTAATTCCTTTATTTCACATGCACACATATCACAGGTCATCAATGCACCGCGGAAGAGCAAGCAAGCCAAACTTATAAAACTTGCGGACAAGTTATATAATTTACGTGATCTGTCCCGAGCTACTCCCCAGGGCTGGACTGAGAGCCGTGTTCAAGAATATTACCAATGGGGGGCCCAAGTAAGAGACAGTGTATAGTAGAATATAATGGACTCTCGCTCTGTGTTAGGTAATACGTGGTATATTGGGTACTAACAAGGACCTGGAAGACGCCATTGAAGAGGTACTGAGGAAGCAAAAGTTGTCCCTCTATTCTGACCCACCTGAAGTTGAAGCAGACAATTCTGACTAAATACATATTATAGATCTATTCTCTTTTTTATTAATTTTTAACAAGTGTGAGTAGCATTCGTAGCATTAGCTATAGATCTATTATAGTTGATTATATACCAGTAAAATGAATTATACTGCTGCTGTAGCTGTACTGTGGGTGTTTTCGCTCCTCCCATATCTTCTCAGCAATTTGCAACTTTTGCAAGTAAAAGTGGTCTCGACAGTTGTCAGTAGTGAGCTCCTTTGGCCTTTGCAGCATCAAAATGACTACTGAAGCCTATGCTGACACAGAGTATTGGGAAAAAAGGTGGGAAGAAGGGAGAACTAGATGGCACAGGGACTATGTTGAAAATATCCTGAAGGTATTTTATGGCAGTATAATAAAGTGTCTAAACTTATATATATCATCATGACATGTAGAATCATTGTGATTTCCTAACAGCTGGTGGAGGTAAATGCTCTATTTTTGTGCCTCTCTGTGGCAAGACTCTAGACATGAAGTGGTTAGCCGAGGAAGGACACACAGTAGTAGGTGTTGATATCGTCGACTTATCTGCTCAGCAATTCTTCACTGAAAATGATATCCCGTTTAAAAAACGTAAGCATATCTCTTGTCAAGCAAAAAAATTAACCAATCTCTTTTTAGATAGCATAGAAGACTTCTCTGTTTATGAAGCCACAGATGATGCAATCAAAATTAAATTCTTTGTTGGCGATGTCTTCAAGATCTCAGCCGAATGCTTTGATGCTGTTTGGGATTGCAACGCCCTGGTGGCCATTAATCCACAAGACAGAGAAAAATATATACAGAAGATTGATTCTTTGTTGAAGCCTTCTGGGCGCATTCTTCTCACTACTTATGAGTATGATAAGACTCTTCGTAATGCTCATCCATTCTCTATGCCTCCTGGTGACATTGAAGCACTCTTTTCTTCATTTAATGTGCAAACAGCTGAAACAATAGATGAGACAGAACGATTTAAGACTAACTTCAATCTTCCATGGGCAAAAAGACACGTTTTTCATATCACAAGGAAGCAGCAAACTTCTTGAAAAGAGAATTATTATATTACTACAATTTTGCTCACAATTGTAATATTGGTTGTTACTCTTATTGAAAGAAACATTACTGGGTAGCTTAGCAATGAATGTACACGTTAAAATTAAAACAATTTGCTAGTATGAGCTACTTCACATCATGTTTAAGATGGCCATCCTAAATTACAATGAAATACAATACAAAACTAAGAAGTGATGCCGATAGCACATCAGCATGCACCAATTCAATAAAACCTCTAAAAGGTTCCTTGCAGCTATAATAATAACAACAATAATAATAATAATAACAATAATAAAAGTTCACTATGACATTTCAAAACTGATGAAGGTAAGAGGAAGGGAGGAGACTTTCCTCCTCATTATTGAAGAATCTTCTTGATTTGACTCAGAGATTCTTCCTTCTCCCTCAGTTTTGCTCTTAATTCTTTGTTCTCGCTCTCAAGATCATGAACTTTGGAGCGCAATCTTCTGTTCTCTTCGTCAGCTTCGGCCTAAAATAAAAATACTTTAGAGCCCAATTCATTTAAAACTATCCACACACACACAAATACACAATATTTAAAAATAGCAATAGAAATGAGTTGTCCTAGTAATCTTAATAATTAAAAATTATTAGTGTTAATTAATAATCTTACAGTTCCAGTGATGACAGCAGGTGAAGGAGAGGACTCCCTCTCTGGAGTGCGACCACGCCCACTAGAGGTTGAAGAGTGAGATGACTGCTTGCTCAATTTACCAGAGGCACTCTGTCAGATAAAAGGTTGAAGAGTCACACATCATAATAATTATCACAACAAAGATTAAACAACAACAACAACATAATAATACTAATAATAGTAATAATAATAATAACAGGCTTACCACCGAAGCAATTTTCTTTCCAGAAGTCTCACCTCCCAGGCCATCTTTAGTAATAGTGACCAGAACTGGTGGCTTGTTAGTTCCAGACTGCCACTCATCAGCACTCATTGCTGGAGACCCAGCATAACACGGTGGGAATATGTCTTCCTGAAACATCCCAGACTATTAGGAACAGAATATATAGCAATAAAATTATCAAGTGGCAATTAAAATACAACAATAATGCTACACTGCTCTCAGTGTACCTTTCTTGGGACAATCATTTGAATAGGCTCCACCATTCCCTTATTGTGAAGTTTGAAAAAACGCATCACCTCACAGGCCTTGTGATCAAGAAAGCGCTTGGGCATTGAACAAACACCAATCTGTGGTAATGAATGTTGATACATGCTCAATTGCTGTACATATGGGGACTCATCAAGTATCTCGTAGTAACGCATCTGTCCATCACCCTAGAAATGAAATGCATGTATGAACAGTCAGCATGTGTTGTGCACATTTAACATTACACACCTTTCCTATGAAGTAGACCATTTTTGTGTCTTCATCAAAAAAGGAGAATATGGTTCCGCTGCCATTGTCAAGGGTTTCAGTAGCAAGAGAAGAAGAGAGATTCTCCTAAAAGAAAGCAGAGAAACAATGTACAAGTATTCAAAAGATGCCCATCCTGCCAATATCATGATACATAGTAGACATGTACGACATTATTATTGATAATTTAATACCTGTCTATAGATTCCAAACTGTCTCTCATTGCTCCTGCTAAAGCCACAAGTTGCAACAAAATTATAAGTACCGCAAAAGGTAACACGAGTTGGCTTTGCTCCTGCATGACATTGACCTTCCTGTTAATGACAGATACACAATCTATCAATGCTAACAATTTCACTCACACTTATAACGGTTCCTTTCCTTGGATCTATCACTCGGACATTCTTATCTTTACAAGATGAAGCAAGGAGTGAGCCGTTATAATTCCAAGCAATACAATAAATGAGGTCAGGATGCATGTCATCAAGCACAAACATAGGCTCTCCAGTTTCTGTATTCCATATAAAAATAACACCATCTGCTCCGCCTGAAGCTAGGACATTTTCAGCCGTTGGATGCCAAGCAAGAGCTCCAACTTTGCGCTGATGTCCTTCTAAATCCTAAAAGACATTTTTAATGATACTTATTAATGACTATTATCATTATGCTGGTTCTATTTACATATTAACATGTAGCATTAAAAGCAAGCCCTTTACTCACCTTTTTGCATTCATTGATGCTGCTTGTAAGGCCTCCATCCGGTATCTCCCAAATCTTCACCGTACAGTCTTCACTGGCACTGGCAATCTCATTTTCATTGAAAGGATTAAAAGCTAAATCTAAAATTGGACTCTTATGGCCAGAAATCTTTGGATGATTGATGTCCACTCGCCCAGTCTAGCAAAAAAAGATACAAAGTGCTATTAAGCTCAAATTGTCAACATAAATTTTAAATTTCATACTAGCTGGAAAACAAGTTTCAATGTTTAGTGAAAAAAAAATGGCAAGCAAATAACCCGTTTTTAATGACAAAAGCAGCAAAATCATGATTCACAAAGACTCTAACAGGGGTAAAGAAAAAATATCATAGAGGATCCTTGAGGACAATAAACTTATAATCTAGAAGTGGCTAACGGACCAAGAGAGAACATAATTACTTGTACTTATGCATTTCACACATCATACACACCTACAAACCATCAGTGCGAGAATACCACTACCATACACTATTTACACTAATTGACCCGAAACCACACACACTTCCTGGCATGCAATCCATAACTCTGCATGTGTACAAATCACACGGTCAGATATGCATACAAAGTTGACAAAACCAAAAATGCAGTTTGTAGAGGGAATATAAAAACAACAAATATCAAAGGAAATGGAGAAAGGGAGTGGAGACGAAGATAAAAAAACAAAGTTAAGAATTATGTATAATTATAATAAAACATATATGCACACACACACACATTATGTATTTTGTACGTGAATGTATTCCATTCTTTAGCATCATCTGTAGCTAATGTTCATACAAACAAGATGGGAAAACAGGAATTAACTATAAAAACTTGCAGAATTCCCATGACATTAAGGAGGAAATGTAGGAAAAGCTCGTGTTTATATGTAGGGACAACAATGGAAGAGAGGCAATGGACTAAAAGCATCATTAGATCACTTATAATGTTAAAATGCGACCAGCATTCCTTATCAGATGCATGAAAATGTGGGAGGATTTAAACTAATAGTGAATGCCCAAAAAAAGTATAAATTGGTTAAGTATTATCAAAGTAATAAGAGAGACATCAACAGGAAACTGAAAGTACATGTACAAAAGCTTAGAAATAAATTTCGATTGTCCCTTCGTAACATTTCTTGCCCCGATGATGCTGACAGGCAGAAAAGCAGTGAATAGTAAACATTAATTGGTGTTAACAAGGTCTATGAGCCAACAATGAGAGTGGTCAGCCAGAAATGGGGAGTCAAGTGTACATTCCCAAACCAAGCCCTTGGTGTAATAGGTCATCCCACTCAAACACATTACAATAAAACCCATTCCTCGTGTATCACAAGACAAATATTAGTCTCTCCTCACCTGACTAAGAGGCAAAACTGTAAAAGCACCACCTCCCTGGCTCTCGAGCACAACAGCTAAAAACTTCCCATTGACGTCGGACTTGTTGGAGTCCCAAGGGCTCTTGGATATCTTGACGTTATCATAGCAGTTGTCCTTCTTGAACGGTTCCCCCTTGACATGTTTGAATTTTGAGTGACGCTGTTTGAAAGCCATTATCCCTTTATTTTTGCCTGCAAAAAAGAAGACCCAATCGATCGCCTGGTGATATCCTTATAAGGGCAAAACTTATTGCGCATGCGCAGTTCAAGCTAGATAGTTAAATATGTAACATGACGAATTTTACGTCATTGAACTGTGACCGCCCGGTCACGCCCTAATTCAGGCTTATTGTCTCACGTGATCATTGTTTACTAAAAAGGACAATGTCTGATAGTGGTAATTCTCTGTCTTGGAGGTCTTTGTTGGACGAGATACGCTCCCAATGTAGAGAAGACGTCATAGCTGATGATATGATCAAGCTCCTCAATTCTTACACCTCCAATGAAGAAAACTGGAGGGATTATGCCGTATTTGACCCACATAAGTGAGAATGATACAAAATTATTGCAATTATTATAATGGTATGTATAATAGGTACACTCGTAATCTGGTTGATACTGGAAATGACAGATATAATCTTATTTTGATATGCTGGGGTGAAGGACAGGGAAGGTACAAAGAGAGAGGGAGGGAGGGAAAGAGAGGAAGAGACTGATCATTTTCTTGATTCATTCTCTCATGTTCACATACAATGGTTCATTCTTTCTATTTTGTTTTTCATTATTTACGTCATCATGAATATATGCTAAGTAGCTGCTAAGTGAGCTAAAAAACAAAACACACTTCATAAGCTGAGAAGCACTGCATGGCTTTTGGAGTAACTTTAAAAATTCATAAAAAATCCAATTTTGATCAGAATCAGCTCAAATTTTCTACACAATATAAGTACATGTATGTGTATCAGAAAAAGTTATAAAAATGGCGAATTTTTCACTCGCCATTTTTGGTGAAATTTGGTCCGAGACCCTGTACTATAGTACAGGGTCTTTGGCTCGATTTTTGAGCAACTTTAAAAATTCATAAAAAATCTAAACTTGATCGGAACCAGCTCAAACTTTCTACACAACATAAGGACATATATATGCATCAGGAAAAATTATAAAAATGGCAAATTCTCTCCTTGCAATTTTTCACAAAATTTGGCCCAAGACCATGTACTATAGTACAGGGACTTTGGCCCGATTTTTGAGCAACTTAAAAAATTCATTAAAAAATTCTAAATCAGATTATTTTATTATTATTACAGCTGTATACATGATCATTCTGGCTCTCAGTGTGTAATGAAGATAATGAGTGGGAAACTTAGAGAGACTCTCTTTCAAATGCCTAAGAGAGAGGGACAGTCTGAAATGACAGTTAAAGAATATCGTGACTACGCTAAGGATGAGGTTGCTCACATTAATGGTAAAAAAAAACAAAATTTTACATATTTATTGTAATTATTTTACACGTACATAATATATATATTTATCATTATTGAGTATCTTTTATTACCATTCTCACCTTATGCCTTTTTCCTTATCCCCCCATTTATTCCCTTTTTTCTCCCCTATAGATGATATTGGTCTCCATCGTGTTGAAAACCCAAGCCATGCTGACACTGCTGTCTCTCTCCATCTTTACTTTCCTCCCATTAAAGTTTGCCGAAGCTTTAACCAGCAGACTGGTGAATCTCGTCAATGCCAGCCAACATTTTATAGTCAATTCGGTCAACAGAAATCTCAATAAGACTGTTACATTTATAATGCAAGAAATAACTCATTAACTGCTATTAATAATCACTATTAATAATTATGTATTATGTGCCAAAATTTATGTGATTTTCAAAATAGAATTAAAATTAAAAGCTCTTTATTGAACTTGTTTAATTTTTTATTGCGTCAATATTTTGGCTGACTCTAAAATACTGTTTTCTCCACTTGTTAATAATTCAATATGGAACAAGAATTGAGGGAGAGGTAGGATCAAATTACAATTACAATTGTGCAATTGTTAAAAGAAACCACAGCATGTTATTAGTGTATGCAATACTACCAATATAATTGAGAATTTTTATGATTTTTTTAAAAATGTACATTTTCATGCATTGAGAGAAAATGAAAAAAGAACAAAACAAAAAAAATTAAAATAATGTTGACGTACTAAAATACAATAAGATTGATGCCATTATAATGATGATAATTATAATTAATATTAATTCATTATTATTAATAGTATATGCATTGTCACAATGATGATTATCTGTGGTGTGCCTTTTCGCTAACCCAGACCATTATTTTGCCATTCCAGTCAGGCAGCAGCTGGTCCTCAGAAACAATCTGAAATAGAAAGAGCAAAGAAAGAAGGAGGGGAAGAGAGAGAGAGGAAGGATCAAGTTACAGCTATTACATAACTATGCTTACTTCTTCTCTTACTACCCCACAATCAGGATCCTGTGTCTTGAAATAAAATCTACAAAGAGACAGAAAAGGGAGAGGTGGTTCAGGTCAAAGCTAAAGGAGGAGGATGTGGGGAGAGAAGGGAAAAGTCTAACCTGTACGAGCCTTGTCGATCAAAAACAGCTTTGAAGTCTTTTAAACGAACCTCATTTGATCTGCCAAGCAATTATCACATAATAATAAAGTTTGAATAACATGCAGTAAAATTGTTTACCCATGGTGTTAAAAAATATTACGACCACAAAAGCCTAATTTATTTTTTAAATATTTATTTAACCAAAAAATTCTTTCCTAGCCATTTTTGACAAAATTTGGCAGAGGACCTTGTACAATCTAGGATCTAATTTTGGAGCAACTTTAAAAATTCATTAAAAAATATTTTGATCGGAATCAACTCAGACTTTCTACACAACATAAGAACATGTAAATGCATCAGAAAAAATTTATAAAAATTGAGAATTCTCATTTAGTCATTCTTGGCAAAGTTTGGCCTAAACCTGATTTTGTAGCAAATTTTAAAAATCACAAAAATCAAGTTTTGATTGGAACCGCCCAAGTCTGCTAGGTATACTCACTTTCTGGGAACTGTAGTTACATATGGGGTTTCTGTCTTGTCTCCAGTCATGTAATAGAATACTTTAGTCCAGTCATTGGAAGGATTAGCAATAGTGTGATAGACAGCTGTCTCCTCCTTGCTGGCTTTGTGTCTACGTCTCTTTTCTTCTCTTCTCTCTTCATGCTGTGGAGATGAAGAAGAAAAAAAGAGAGAGAGGGAGAGAAAGAGGGGGGAGAAAGAGAGGGTGAGAGAGGAAGCAAAAGTAAAAGAGGAGGAGGAGAGAAAGCAAAATACCACTAAGCTTTGATCAGTTACATACAATTGTGCATGCATATTTCTGCAAATAATCTGTAAAGGACACACACGTAAGTGAATGACATTTCTAAGCATCAACAAATCAACACATGTTAAAATAACAAGCACATGGCATGCAAAATCCTGAGGATGAGCAGCTTAGCATGCGTGAATTTTGTGAGTGAACAAGAATTTAGTAGTTTATGTTTAATAAAAATGAACCATGCAGTGACCTCTGATACCTATTAACAGTTAAAATAAATAAACATTACACTCTATGATTAATGACAAAAGTATATGCTCACTCAACAAATCATTGCCACAGTGTAACATTGAATACATACAATATAAAGTACTGATATTTGTAGCTGTGCAAAGGAACTGATTTGACAAGCAAGCATATTGAAATATTGAAGCAAGTTGTATTTAAAAATGTAAAATTGTGTAATATTCAACTCACATAGCGTCTTGGCCTTCTACTAGGTGAGAAACTTCTAGAGTCAGTGCTATTTAATTTCGCATACAATTCCGATATACTCTAAAATACAATGGAATAATTATAATCAACACTAAAATTTTATATCTAATCACCTTCTCTAAGTTGTCCAGTAGTCCTAGTTGCTGTTGGTCTAAGGATCCTTTGAGTATCTCTAGTTTACGTCGAATAGAGTCGGTCTCATCAGTTATAAGACTTGTGTCGAATCTCTTTCCTCCTCCTCCTCCTCCTTCCTCGAGTCTTTCTTCAAGGGTTGTTATCCGCTTGTCTCTGCTGCTCAATTTAATGTGAAGACTCTCCTCGTTGCTGGCTAGTCTCAACAACTCTCCCTTTGCTCTGTCCAGCTCTTCTCTTAGCTCTAGCTCTATCGATTCGTGTTGTCGGATCTTTTCTCTCATGTCTGTGACTTCACGGTCTTTACCCTCGAGGCTCGCCTTTAGTAGACTTACTTCACCCTATTTCAGAAACAAGCACATAATAACAAGATAAAAATGAAAGGATGGTTTTTGGTTGGCTTTAACGTTTACCAGAAGTCCATGGGCTCATGGTTTTTACAAGTTCTACAATAAATGCAATCAAAAGTGGACACTTATTATTAGTATAGGGTGTGTATGTAAATGCATTATCCATGGGTTTGTGTGGTAGGTAGCATACAGCCAATTCAGCAAGTGTAAGGTACAACTTAAAAGGCTGCAAATATTCTTTTGATCCATGTTTGGTACTAATAGTGACTAACTGAAAATGAATATCGAATTGCAGGAGAATGCCAATGGGATTTCCTCCTACGCTGCCCCCATTACTGGGAATGCCAGGCAGACGGAGGGAGGGGGCATGTGTGGTTACGTATCAAAGCTTCTTCCGGTGTTATTGGTATTACAAGACCCAACGCTAAACATTAAAACTGAAGCCGGCTTTTAAAGTACCGATAACGTGACACATCAAAGCGAGTGGGGTTTATTTTGCTTTCTTTTCTTATCCTCAGCGGGGCATTACCTCTAACACTTTGGCTGTTTTCTCTTTGTGGTGAAGTTGAGTCTGTAAATCGACTCTCTCCGTGTCATTCCGATACTCTTTACGATAGATCTCGCTCTTCATACTCGTTATAAACTGGTTCCTCTCCATCACCATGTTCCTTAATGTATCACATTCACTATCGACCTGTGCAGTTATAAGAGAATATAATTATCATGATTAATACTTCATCAGTTCGTCCACATAATAGCATGCATTATGAAGTGTCTCTCATATTATTAACACTTCACTTATTAATTGCTGTCTATACCAAATGTGTTGTACTATTATACATGTGACATGTGGTGAGAATTTATATACCATCGATAATTATATGATGTACCTTCTTTGACTGTTCTTCTAGATTTTTAAGCTTCTCGCAGAGCTCCTCTATCTCCCTGTCCTTCTCACTGATCTGTATGTTAGCTAGTTCCAGTGGTAGCTTCACATTCAGCTCAGAAGCCTCTTGATCAGCATCGCTCACTCCTCCATTAATATTATCAAGTAGCTATATAAAACGTAAAGCAGATCGAAGCGTATTTAATAAATTAAAATTTCAATTGCTACAAATAATATTATAATCACGCAGCATGACTCATCATTAAGCAACAATTAGCAACATCATGCGTACTAATTGACTTACCACACCGTGTAATTTCAGCAGCTCCGTCTTGAACTCGCTCAACTGGTTTACGATCCCACCAATCTCGTTTTGAAACTCAGCCGATAAGACAACTTCTTCAGAAGGCTCTGTCTTAGATTGCTTAGGATCTCTGTTCTCTCTGTTCTCTTCATTACGAATTGGAGGAGGAGGGAGAGGAGGAGGAGGATCATTAGGGAGAGGCAACAAAACAGGCGGCTTGTGATTTTGAACTAAACAATACAGAGATTACCAGTAGTGAGCCATTAAAAATAAAAAATGCTCTTCTATTAAAAATTATATGTTTCCTACATACATAAAGTATATTGAATAGGCATATAGCTGGTATAACATTAATGATATCAGGGGCCCGAATTCATGGATGCATGGTTAACTTACTGCTAGTATTAGTCATAGTGCGATTAGGTCTTGGCACCAATACTCTGTTTCTCGGTACAAATCTGGTAATGTGCTGCGTGACGTGCTGTGGGAGAGAGTCAATGGGAGTTGAGTATATTCCATCAGGAGGAGCCTGAGTTGGCTGAGAGAGAGAGTAGCTGCTTGTCGGTGGGTGAGGGCCTAGTCCTTGAGACTGAGAGAGAGCGACAGGTTGAGACGGATGAAAAGGCTGGGGGGTATTGTAACTCTGTGAGAGGGCCCCACCCTGTAAACAAACATTTATAATCATGTAATAGGGACATAGTAGAGTAGTAGTCAGTTAATTGAAATGTCAGTCATAATAAATAATGATCATTTCTGGCCTATTGCCTCAAAGCAATGAAACCGTTACATGTATAATAGTATAGGTGTATGTATATGTGCGTGTGTATTTAATAATGTCAGGATGTATTCTAATTTGATAGGAGGAAAGCTAGTTAAGAAAACAATTACTGTATCACCTAGCTACTAATACAGTTCTCTCTCCCCCCACTCTCTCTCTCTGGACAATTAGACCATGTAATAGGATATACTAATAATAAACTACACACAGACAAGCCATACACACATACTAAACCACTCTACCATACAAAATACAATAATTAAGAAGAACAGAGTGTAACCAACAATTAAGAGAGAAAGAGAGAAAAAGAGAGAGAGAGAGAGAGGGTAGGTCTACCTGTTGAGGGAGTGTATTAATCCCTGCCACTCCTCCTCCTCCTCCTCCAGTCATAAATGTACTCGTTAAAGGAGAGGTTGCTCTCGGCGAATGATGAATATCTGTTGGATGAATAGTCTGAGGACTCACATAATGAGGATGATCCTGAGTATAACCCGGCCCTCCTCCTCCTCCTCCTCCTCCACTCACTAGCTGTGGAGGAGCCCCTGTCTTTGGTACAGGGCGGACCGATCGAGGATTATACTTTTCGGCAATGGCGAGGATAACACGCATGACACCTTTCATGCTTCCATCTATAATATCTAAATAAAAATGGAGTAGTAAACAGAGCTAGGTCCTAATTGCTCATTATATACTATGTGCTACATGATTGGTTGTACCACTGCATGCAGCTGGGGAAGTTCAGTATGATATCACAGATTGTAATTATATTCTATGGGTAGTAGTGTCGAGTGTTGACACCAATGGTCAATGAGATGTTCATAAATTGGTTATATAGTGGTGGCTAGAAGTGTATCATATATACCTGGAGTTTACCGATATATAGGGCACACGCCACAAACACCCACACACATCAACACACACACACACACGGGTCTCTTTGATGATACCGGCTGTTAGTTTTATCGTTTGAGAGTGTGTGCGTTTGAGGTAATGGCTCCTCTGTCTGTGTGTACCTTTAAACGGATGTATACTTTACCTTTCGTCGAATCTGTCCCAAGGTTGGCCCCGTCGCTATTAAGAAAAGCAATCGCTTTTTCTATGTTGCTACGTCGAGCGGAGGCAGAGAGAGGGTTACGGTCCACAAACGGGATCTCGGAATTTGCTGTAAAAGAAAGATTACAGTAACATTACATATATATATATAATACTAAAGAAAAATGAAGGAAGGGAATCATGACAGACCTGCAATTTCGACCAAGTTGATTAGTGTTATGCCATCCTGCATTCCACTACGTAAGTCAGTTATGAGGTTTGCCCGAGGTCGCTTTCTGAGATAATTATTCACCCAAGCAATGTAATCTTGAACTTGCTTCTGTGAGCCATACAAGAGAAAGAGAGAGAAAGATAGAGAAAAGAGATAAGAAAGAGTATTAATATTGGTAAAATGATATACTATTATTGATTGCATTCGACGAAAGGATTGCGATATAGTTTACAAGGAAACTTGGTAAACCGATATAGAATGACTGCCCAATAGGGCAGCAAAGGAAAATAGTTGCATACTTGTCAATTATGCTAGTTTGGCATATAATTATTATTAATTATGATTACTAGAGGGTTAGCATTTTAAAAGACACCACCAAAAGGAATCATGTGTACCAGTGAAGGACAGTGAGAGAGAGGAATATCAGTAATACATGATATGAGCATTCTCTGTTTGTAGGAGAAGAGGGCATAAGCCCGCTACTATCATTAACAATAATGTGGAGGATTGATCAGTTCATTGTATATGGAGATGGGCAATTATGAGAAACCCACACCATACTGCACACATGTAATTAAAGAGTTACAACATTGGAATGGAAAAGATTGGGACTACAGCAATGAGAGTGAGTCAATATTTTTGTGTACAAATGGCAGGTATCAAATACAAGCCCCTGAGCAATCTGCTCCTTTCAAAAGATATCTTTTCTAATGCATCATAAGAAAGAGGACGTTGCTTCACCACCAAGAGGACCTGTATAGTACTGATCTAGCTTACCTTTTTCTCTACTTCATCCACTTTTGGCTTGCGCTTAGCAAACTGGGGAAAGCGGCTCTTTTTCGTGTGCCCACCCTCCTCCGGGCCAGCCTGAGACTCTGATTTCTCTGTAGGCATTGCAAAGAAGGATAGGAGAGCTCTAGTGTAGCCAGTTATGAGAGAAGTCCTCTTTGTGAGTGGGGTAGCCTCTTCTATCTCCGCTATGATAATCAATGCGGTCGAGGTGCCAAAGATCTCGCAATGAGCTGCGAGTTAATTAATGGGAGTGGTCGCAAGAAGGCGCGGCAAGATCCGGAAATTTAATAATGTTAGTAGGGAGTAGTACATAGTGGGTCCTTCCTGATTTTTGCTGCTTGGTTTTAAATCTATTCAAACCATGTCTATAGTTGCTTTTTTCTTGAGGTTAACGTGTTTAACAAAGTGCAAATCATTAGTAATTTAGGTAAACAAAAAGGCGCTAGGCGTGGTAGGTGTAGGAGTGGTTCTCAACTTGTTCTAATTAAAGAGCGCGAGGACACTCACGATTTTTCTTTTGTGAGCAGACAACGGGGCTCGCCACCAGTGAATAGAATGGCTCTCAGATCTTTTAGAAATTTATCAATTTTACTATTAATATTCTTCCTCTCTTGTCTGATGGTGAGAGGTGAGAGAGATTTCGAGCTACTGAAGAGATCAAAGCAAAAGTTCATGTTCAAACATAGCTTCAAGCCACCAATGATAGTAAATGCTAAAGGACAGATACCATTCTGGGACCATGGAGGAGGTGGGATTATTTTTTATGTGATGCCAATTATGGGACATGGGGTTAATTTATTGACCTACAGAAAAATTAATATTTAAAATCTGGTGTCCTTTAAGATAGATATGCATGTATATCTAGCATAATATTATTATTATAACGAATGCAAATTTCATTTGGGTAGCCTATTATGGAGTTATTATTGCATTATCATCACTCCCCTTTCATATTACCGGAACTAATTCATATTATCATAATAATTATTACATCTGTCTTTGTTATTTTCTTGAGCAACAGAAGATCTGTGCAGCATGTGAAAAATTGTCAATTTTCACATGGATCCACATTTCAATACACATAACTGCACATAGTCCACATAGCTGCCTATAATTAGCTGTAACTATAAAAACAGTAAATGATTTCTTAACTAGAGCATCATTTATATGCCACCTACTTCATTTGCTTCATATTGTACTCTAGATGCTTTACCAACCGATGAGCAAGTAAGGGTGTGTCCGTCGATCCAGGACAGGAAAGGCTGGGCATGGAACAAATACATGTTTGAGGGCCAGCACTGGACGATTGATACTACATTCAGCATCGCTGGAAGGAACACTTATGGAGCTGATGGAATGGTGGGTTGCTCCTAGATCTAATTATCATTGTGCAGTTGTATTTGAAACAGTGGAGTATAGTAATCTTATATTTATTGTGTTACCCTTCAATGTCCTTGCAGGTGTTTTGGTTTACAACGGAGAGGTATGTCGATGGAGGTAACATGTTTGGAAGCTCACCTGCTTTTCATGGGATGGGTATTGTCATTGATACCTTTGACAATGATCAACAGGTCAATCCTAACCTAAACTATCTTCATCTATTCTACTGCACAGTTCTTTCTTCTTAGCACGCATTTTTATTATCATTATTATTGATTATTATTCTTTCATTATTTATTTTAGGGTGACAGTCCAAAGGTATCTCTCTATGTCAGTAATAAAACACTTGATTATAATCACGGAACGTAAGATAATGTATCCAGTATAATAATAATAATATTAATAATAGTAATAATAATAATAATAATAATGCATTATAGTCACGTGTATGTGTATAATTCTGTGTATTTTTTATTTTTCCTTTCTCTCTTTCTAGTGATGGGTCTAACCAAGAGCTAAGCTTTTGCTTAAGACAAGTTCGTAACCAGCGATATCCAACCAAAATGAAAGTCTTTTATGTTAAGAAAACTCTAGAAGTGAGTCGATGTCCCTTCTCTCTCTCTCCATCACCCACCTCTCGTTGTGTCCCTCCAGGTTTGGTTTCAAGATGCCTCTGACAATAAGTCTGACCATTATAACCTTTGTTTGAGAAATGAAGGAGTATATCTACCTGCCACTGGCTATTTCGGTATATCAGCAGCCACTGGTGGATTATCAGGTTAAACTATGTCACAGCTAGCATTGTTTGTAACTCACCCACCTCCCCCCCTCTCTCTCTCTCCCCCCTCTCTCTCTCCCTTGTGTAGATGATCATGATGTTATGTCATTTGTTGTTCACAGTATTACTATACAGGAACAGGAAAGGGTATGTATACACACACACACACTCTCTCTCTCTCTCAGAGTTTACGTGTACATAATTATGTTGTTGACATGCAGTAATCATAATGCTTGTTGTGCTATGAATATACATTGGCATAATTATGTCTTTTATGAATGTACTTTTTTACTATTTATTAGATGGAGGAAATTGATAAAACTCATGCTGAACGATTACAACAATATGTTAAATTCTCCGAAGATTTTGAGGGCAAACGACAAGAGTAGGCGTAGCTATTATTATGCTGTTATTAACATCATCTCTCTTTCTCTCTCAGTACACTACCCACTAGGACTCAGGAAGATTGGCAAATTCGACTTAATCTCGAGGAAAATGTTAGAATGATTTACGACTTGCAATCGGGGGCATCGCGTGACCTTAAGTATGTGGGAATATTATCATCATCTTTCTCCTTTATCAGACATAGTGTAATTGTTATGAAAATAGTAATAGTAAAGGTTACATGGTACAAGTGTAGTAATATAACAGTATTTAAATTTATTGTAGTACCTATCATCTTTCATTTTTTTTCTTGTTTCTCTCTTTCTATTAATGATATTAGAATACTCATTTCTAAGGTGAACGATCTATCCTTAGTAAGATCAACCAGCACTGGTGGTGCTGCTAACATTGGAATCACTGATGACAAGATGACTGCATTAGAAGGACGATTGAGCCATCACATAAACGAACTAAAGTGAGAGAAAGAGCTTTAAAAAACATTACTTTCTTGTCTTAGGACTCATATTACTAGTGGAGGAGGAGGAGGGGGATTAACTGCTAGTGAACAGCTGCAACCTTTTTATGAGCTGAGAGAAAGCATTAAAGACTTGAAGAAAACGATCGAGACAGCCCAAGAGAACATTCAACAGGTAACTCTCTCCCCCTCCATTGAACAAGTTTTATTTTATACAGGAGATTCGCTCAAGTCCATGTCCTGAAGTAGCCCCACAGTCCTGTCTCTCGGCCGGACTGTTCATTTTCATTATTTTGATACAATCGGCTACTTTCATTGCTTTCTTTGTTATCAAGTACAATCAGGAGAGTAGGGCTAAGAAATTCTTCTAGGAGCACAATGGCATTGTTAATTATTATTATTATTATTTCCATTTACTGCTAGTTGTACATGATAGTCATCTCATTTCATCCTTGTAATTATTATTATTATTATTATTATTATTATTATTATTATATTTGTTATTTTTGTCTTGAAGAATTATTTTCTTTTCTGAGACACAAGCTCCCTGATGCTTGCTTCTGACTGCTTCAAGTTAGTCTCCCACGTCTGCTTCTCTTTCTATAAGAAAGGACATTATTGTTTAGTATACTAGTGCAGGGCTTTCCACAAAGCATGCTAAGTGAGCTAAACAGCATGAGCTTCATGAGCTGACAAGCACTACAATACAGTACATGGCATTTGGAGCAACTTTTAAAATTCATAAAAAATCTAACTTTGATCAGAATCAGCTCAAACTTGATACACAGCATAAGAATATGTATATGTATCAGAAAAAATTATAAAAATCAAAAATTCTTTCCTTGCCATTTTTCGTGAAATTTGGCCCGTTACCCTGTACTATAGTACAGGAACTTTGGCCGGATTTTTGAGCAACTTAAAAAAATTGTAAAAAATCCAACTTTAATCAGAATCAGCTCAAACCTTCTACACAACATAAAAACATGTTCACATATCAAAAAATGTAATAATAATGAAGAATTCTCTACTTGTAATTTTTGTCAAAATACCCTGTACTATGTACAGAGTCTAATTATAGGCCTAATTTTTGAGCAACTTGACAATCCACTGGCAGAAAGCTGCATGAGCACTATCTCTTCAACTATAGGATTGTGATTTCATGATGAGTAGCATATTAATCTAAATACAGAGAATTTGGCATTTCAAATTATTAATGAGGGGTCACTCAAATTTATCGTCCCCCCTTTTCATAGAGAGATAGAGCTAATCTGATACCTCTAATTGCTTAATCTTTTGCTGTGCTTCCTCTTGGTTGGTTTTCATGTGCTCCTTCACCTCAGCAGCTGCTGTAAGAACAAACCTGGTCATACAAAACATAACAATAATAATAATAATAATAATAATAATAATAATAACATGTACATACATATTAATATTTATATTGTAAAACTGCATAATGTAATGAGATTGCATTTCAAAGCCCCAAGCGGCTGATATTACACTCCAAACATACACACGTATAATAATAATAATAATAATAAAATGTATTTACAATCTTCCAATGCTCTCATATAGTCTTGTTCCTTCGGGTAGAGATACTATGACTCTCTCTGTCAGTTGTGAGCTCCTTGCTGTTGATTTATGGTCCTCTATCTGCTGCTGGATTCTGGTCACATTAGCATTTGTTTCTATCATTTTCGTATGATGTTCAGAGAATGCCTTTTAAAGAAAAGAAACAAATAAAAAGATGTGAAGAATAACTTACTTTGGTTAGCTCTGGATCCGCCATTTTGAATCATTAAAGGTTAAATATTAATTGGGGCGTGTTTTGTTATCAGTTGTTGGGTTCTAATGGCTGCATTGAACTGGATTACTACCTCGATTACTGCATCAAAGGACAGCTTCAAGTCCTGCCTGCAGGCCTGCTCTGAGGCTAAACTTGAATGCAGCAGGTTCTTTTCCTACAAGCCTCGGGAATTTTCCTTTAGATCAAAGGGTAAAGAGGTTATTTTCCTTGCCCCAGTTGAAAATATTGGCAACAATGTTTTCTCTGTGAGTGCTGATGATGACACTCTTACTAGGAAGAAGGTAGCAGAAAATAACAAACAGATGATATTGTTCTCTCCCTCTCTCTAGTTGTGTAGTCCTGAAGGCAGGCACGCTTTGACGCGCTCAGAGCAGCTACTGAGAGAGAGAATGAGGGCCTCTGGTTCTGGCATAACTGATTACAAATACATCCCAGATATTGACTCCATATTGGTCAACACTGGGACTGCCTGCAGTCTCTTCTCTTGTCAGGATGACAAGCAGGTAGTGGGGGCATTTATAAGTAGCAATATATATGATTATTTTCCTAAGCCTCTTATTTGTCATTTTGTGTATACTTCCAGCCATCTGCATCCATGCATATTTCTCTAAGCACTATCTTAGGCTGGGTTTACACAGTAACACATCTCATCGAATTTTATCACATTTTCTTTCGATTTGTGTAAACTGAAGCATTAAAACTGTAAACTGGCACGAAACGATCGGAACGCAGCGGTCTCCCTTTGCTGTGTAAACTCAGCCTTAATATTATATTTGTTTTTCTACCTATGCCTGCGTCAGGTTAAGAGTTTCCCATCACTTGCTGGTGCTTTGGATTACAAGTTATGTCCAGGGAATAGCGATATACTGGCATGTTCATACGAAGGGGACTTATGGTTACTGACCACGTACAGCAACGAGCCAATTCAAATTACTAATACTAAAGGTAGGATCTCACCCTATCTATTTTCCTCCTCCTCCTCCTCCTCATCATCATCATCATCATAATCATCATTATTATTGTTATTAGTATTGTTATTAGTATTGTTATTATTATTATTATTATTATTATTATTATTATTATTATTATTATTATGAAGACAAAGGCAATAGGAAGGACAAAAGAGAGAGACAAAAAGGGAATTCCACAAAGAAAACAAAAACCCAAAAAGATTATTATTAATAATTATATCCTTATTAATATTAATATTTTATTTTTAGCATTGCGTCCTCAGAGGAAAGTAATGGCTGGGCAGTCTAGTTTCATCCTTCAGGAAGAGTTTGACAGATACACTGGTTACTGGTGGGACCCAACCTCTGGCAAAGACTTTGGGAAATATAGGATCCTTTATGAAGAGGTCAGGACTACTTAATTGAAATGAGTTTGATTTGAGCTTGTGAGATTGATAGACTATTATAGCATGGTTGTTGTTGTTATTATTTATTATTATTATTATTATTATTACTGCTACTACTACATCATTATCAATGTTATTAATTTAGGTTGATGAAACTGATGTTGAAGTATTGCACACTTTTAATCCTAGCAGTCAAGAAATTGAAGACTATTCCTATCCTAGGCCAGGTAAAACATTACTTAAAAGACTGATGTACCTTAAGTGCTCTAATGCCATTAATTTTATGATAATTATTATCTTTCTCATGCAGGGAAAAAAAATGCAGTTGCTGTTTTGAAATGCCTTGAGATAACATTGGATTCTGGAAGTGCAAAAGTGTGTATACACTGATAACAAGAGTAGATGCTGATAATTATAAGCTATTGCTTCCTCTCTCTTTCTCTCCCTCTCTTGCAGTTTTCTTTTGAGACTCTTGTTTTGGCCAGTAGTATTTCTGCATATCTCTCAAAGTGGGAGTATTTTACAAGACTTGGTTGGCTTTCCAATGGGAAAAAGTTTGTCTAGCTTTTATTCTTCTGCATATAATCATTTCATGAATACATGTTCAAGCACTTTCATTATTTCATAACTTGTTGCTATTGCTCCTTTCTCTTCTCAGTATTTGGGTCCAAGTGTTGGATAGGGTCCAGCATCATTTGCAGGTTTTACTCATCTCAGCTGATTCTTTTGTCAAGGAAGGAGAGGGTAAGACTGTCTTCTCTCCTTTCATTCTCTGGAAAGAAGAAAATCCTTATTACTGGATCAGTGTAAGTATTATCATTATCTGTTATTTTTGGCACAATGAACTCTACATGTACGTAGCAGAGGGTATTTTGTCAAAAATTGCAAGAAAAGAATTCTAAATTATAATAGTTTCTTCTGATGCATAATTGCATGTACATGTACTTATAAAAATTTGACTTTTTTATTAATAAAAAGTTTACCAAATTTTAATGTACTTGTAATAAAAATTTAGACGATTTTCATTGTTTTTAAAATGGTCATAACTCAAAAAAAATAATATTTGCCGGAATCAGCTCAAACTTTCTACATAGCATAAGGACATCAACGTGTATCAGAAAATATGATAAAAATTTGGGGTAATTTTGGAGCCATTTTTCGGAAAATATCATAGGCTATATACACATAGTTTTTATATACTCTTGGTATAACTGACTCTTATCATTGCACTAATTATCATTACTAATAGATCAAGAATTCATCTTGTTTCGAGTTTTTCCCAACTGATGATGAATCGGCCATTAAACTACTGATAACATCAGAGAAAGAAGGATACCCTCATTTGGTCCAATTGAAGTGCACTCTGCCATCACCTCGTGAAGTTACATCAATTAAAGCAGAGCCAATCTTAGTTGAAAAGACAGTGGAACATGTGACATGTGGCAACTGGAACGTAATGGAGAGTGAAGTAAGTAATGCTAGCATGTACATGCATTGTATTGTAGCAAAAAAATTGAGATTGTGACAATTTGGTGAATAGATTTGGAAGCAAAACTTTGAACACAGCTTGACTGCTAAAATTTGGCAAATGGAGCTAAATTTGTCATATTTATATACCAGAATTTTATTCTTATACCAAGTTTCTAGCTATGATAGTATGATAATTACGTTTATTGTACGCTTACACAGGTGTGGCTTGATGATAAGGAGAACGTCGTCTTCTTTGAGGGAAACAAATCATCATGCCTTGAAAAACATTTGTAAGTACTGTGAATTCTATTTCCGTGTGTGTATTAGAACCTTTTGTCTCTTACTGATAAAAGACTAAGAGACATGAGTGTGCTTTGATATGTTTTATTTATGATGCTACATATTGCAGGTATGCTGTTGATATGACTAATGGAGCCCTCCCGTGCTCTGATCCTGTACAACTGACCCCCTCCAATTATTATCACGACATATCACTCTCTATTGTAAGATATGAGGCACTGATACTCCTCATGTTATCATGTTACTAATAGGATAATAAATTGTTTGTGAGTTGCTATTCAAACAGGACGACACCACCTGCTGTTGCAGTCTACTCTTACTCTATCAAGCCTTTCGGGTCACAGCTTCTCTTTCACTTGTCTGACTCCGTTGGTATGTGATCTGTTTGACATTATTAAGAGTCCAATATTGGTCTTTCTTTTTTTTAGAATTGCCACTGGATTTCAATCCTCCTATCAGTTTCACTGCCACTGCTAGTTCAGGTACATGTATATGTACTGCGTGTACTCATTCGTGTTTTTTTCTTTCTTGTTGCCAAGGTGAGACACTTCACGGAGTTGTCTATCGTCCCACTAAATATCAAGAAGGTAAGAGGTATCCAACTGTTCTCTACGTCTATGGAGGGCCTGAATTTCAAGTATGTGTACGCATTAGATGTACGCATGTACTAGATACTGACCTTTTAGGTTGTTAAAAATGATTTCTCACGTTTCCTGATGAAAGTGAACCAATGGACGACCTGTGGGTTTTCAGTTGTCATGATTGATAACAGAGGCTCCTCCAACAGGGGAAAGAAATTTGAATCCCACATTCAAGTAAGAAAAAAAATTACCAAACATTGATTCTCTCTTGTAGTATCAAATGGGCTCCGTTGAGATTGAGGATCAGGTGGTCGGACTTGCAGCAGCTGTTAAAGCAGCTCCATGTGTTGATGCAGAACGTGTTGCAATATTGGGATGGTCTTATGGTAAGTCATTTAACAATATTATACTAAAATTAACAAATCCATTTCTTTTTTAGGTGGATACATGGCTCTTCATGGCATTGCTAAGAGGCCTGACATTTTCAAAGTAAAATTAACTTTAAAAAATAATTATTATTCTAGTTAATTAACCATCAGGTGGCCGTTTCCGGTGCACCAGTGACTGACTACAGGTGGTATGATACCGGATACACTGAGCGATATTTAGGAGTACCTCCACTTTCAGACAGGGTATACAATTTCCCTCTGTCTCACCTCCATTGTTTAAATTATTCCTATAGGCTTATGAAGTCAGTTCTGTTGTTAATTTGGCATCAAAATTCCCAGACAAGTAATAGAAATATCCTCTCTCTCTCTTTTTTAATGATAGTATTTTTATGCATGCAGGCCTGGGAAGGTACTCATCATACATGGAATGAATGATGAGAATGTGCTGTATACTCATACCTCATTGCTCATTGATGCCCTCATTCGAGCTGGCAAGCCTTATCAAATACAAATGTATAATGGGGAGAGGCACGGGATCAGGAATCCTACAAGTGCTCTTCACTGTGATGCAGCCATCCTTCAATTTTTGCTGGCTAATCTTTAGATGAAGCATAGGAGAACTATTAGCCATTAGTATTAACCATTAGCCGTTATTATAGTCATTATTATTAGCCCTTATTATCATTATTAGTGTGTAGTGTCTAGAGGACATTTTTAATATTTTTCTTTTTAGTTATTATTTTTTCAATGTTTACAATAGAGACAGACTCAACTTTCTGACATATCAAAAACAGACCAAGCATCTGTGTATGTAGAATGTTTATTTATTTTGAGTTTAACACAGTCTTTATTGAGATTTGCTGCTCCTTTGTTCATTCATCTTGTTATTCATGACGGCTAATGCTCGTACGAGACGTGAAGAGTCGCACGTCGCAAGAAAGTCGGCTTTAAGCACCGTCTCCAAAGCAAGGAGATCCTGAGCGTCTTGTTGAGCAATTTGAGCTATCGTCTTTCCCTTGAGAAACAGCAAGTGATTCTCAATGTCGGTTTTTGGCAGCGAGCACTCCAGCCAAGAGTGTGGTAGCCATAGCATCGATTGTGTCAATAGCAAAGCGTCGCCTAGCCCAAGTCGTTTCAAAGGATCCCTAGACAAAAGAAGGTAGGTGAGTGTTTCTAAATATACAGAGACTTTGATTTCATTTGATATCGATGGAAGGTCATCGTGGGTGTATGTCTTGTACACTAGTTGTGGGTCTTTGTCGAATGGTGACGTCCCTGTCATTAGCTCGTGAATGAGGCACCCTACTGCAAAGCTATCTGTGTGGGAATAGTCCAACGTGTTGACATTAGATGGGGTATCAACAATCTCTGGAGGAAGGTGAGACTCTACTCCTCCAAGCCACGATAGCTCGTCGTAAGCAAACACAAAAGTTGTAGCCGATATAGGTCCTGGACGATGAAGAGCATACGTGAAATTCTTTAGTTTTATTATGCAGTGGTCTGCAGATGATCTATAAGTCCAAGCAAGGAGGGACTCTATTCCAATGTCACGATGAACTATCCCATTATTGTACAGGTAGTTTAGACCACGGAGGACTTGGACTAGTATTAAGAGAACTGCTTGCATGTACTCCTCCTCACTGAGCGATTTGTTCCACAAAGGTAGGATCTTTTCCAGTGGGACTTTATCAGGAAGACATGAAGTGTCCCGTACAACATACTCTTTGGCATCTGGCAGGAACTCAATGTAATCCACTGGGGCTTGCTGTAGAGTCCCACGAGGTAGAGAAAGGTTTAAGTGTGGCGTTAGAGTCTTTGCTATGCTCAGTTCGGTTCTGTGTCTATCTCGATCCAAAGGCTATAGTGGGTGAATGGATAAAAGAATAGTCAAAACTCTATTATTGTCTGCTAGTGTGTGCATGTTTTCATAGCAACTTAAATAATATTTATTATTTCTGTGAGAGGCACTGCTTAATTATGAAATTTACATAAAATAATAATGATTATAGCTCCATTTGTATGCATGGTTTCAAGAGCATTTACCTCTAATGAAATTGGTTGCATATGAAAGTAGAGTTGATGCTTGTTTTTGAGATCCACACTGTCAGTTATATCAGACCAGTTCATGTCTTGAAGGTGCTGATCTGTTGAGGTCAACTCTTCAAAATGTCTTGATGCAATGTTTCCTAGAGTATCATCAAACAATTCCTGGAACTGGTGCAGCAATGAGAGTGAAGCTATTGCTACATCAGAACTGATTGTTGCAGTGATACTGCTTCTCATTGTCCCACTTGGTGAATTTTGCTGCGAGAATCTGTGGAGAGGCTCGTAATCACTGCAAGCTGTTTTGGCTCCGATTGCAACTTCATCAAAACTCATGTAAGTGCTCTGTGTTCGCGGTGGCTTACATGGTGGGCTCTTCTCCTTGCTCTTGGAGACATCATTAAGAGGAATGAATACACTTGAGTTGTGCACCTCTTCCTCTGCATCAGTTATCAATGGTGTTGGTACGCTGGAGGAGCGGCTCATTCTATTTCCAGTGGTCAGTGTATTCTTCTTTGCTCTTCCACCATATGCATGTCCTGGTGATCGAGTTACCGGAGGAGGTGGTGCTTTTCTTTTTGGCACTATGCTTTTCCTCTCCTTCCTCTCTCTCCTCTGGAGTGCAAGAGGTGCCTCAATTCGTCTCTTTGTTGCATCGTAGAGGAACACAGTACCACAGGAACCCACTCGGGGTCTTAAAAAATGATCCTGAGATTGTATTTGCTTTAAAGTTTCATGAAGGTCGACCACAGCATACGGTTTGACAACTCCAACTTGCTTACTGTCAACTGTCTGAGATCTAGCAGGAGGCAAAGGAGAGAGGCTAATGTCACGGAGCATGTCTGAAGGAGGCTCTGAAAGTTGTCTTCTTCCTCTAAGTGCTGAGGTACCTGCATGGAATTGTTTTAAAAAGGATAAATGAATGTTTCATGCTCAATAATCCTCACATATTGTGGCAGCTCTTGGGATAGCAAATTCCTCTGGGCTGGAGTCGCCCTCATCATGGCCGATAGCTTGAAGGGTTCTAGTGGAGGACTTGTTCATGTGCTTTGTCTTTGGTCTGCAGCAATAGGAACATATTGTGGGCCTCCAAAAGTTAGGCCTAAATTGGCTACAACTAACCCTGTTCGGACTTGAGGACATCATCAAAATGTGAATTGATAACAAAAGCTTTCTCTTGTTGTTTATATTCGCGGACAAAAGCGCCAAAATAGGCGTGGTTCTTCATTATGGTCACGCCCACAATATGGAACCCCCTCAGCAGCAAACTCACTCAAGAATCCGTCCTCACGGCAGAAGAAAGAAGGAGCTTACAGAAGAGCAGCAGCAAGAAATCAGGGAGGCATTCAACTTGTTTGACACTGATAATGACGATGCTATTGACTACCACGAGTTAAAGGTAGGTGACTGAGGTGAGATTGTGAATTTGCACCTTGCATTAAAAACCGCCCAATATTTTTAAAAACTTATGCTCAGAATCAACTTAATCTTTGCATGGAAGTAACTAGTCCTTGGTTGTTATAGTCAGTTGTTTAGAATCTACTTTTTTGATGAATTAGCATGGAGTGAATCTTATTTATGTTTTTTTAATTTTTCATTTACTGTCATACAGGGTCTCGGGCCAAATTTTGGCAAAAATTACAAGAAGAGAATTCTTCCCTTTTATAATTTTTTCTGGTGCATATACATGTTCTTATGTTGTGTAGAAAGTTTGAGCTGATTCTGATCAAAATTAGATTTTTTAATGAATTTTTAAAGTTGCTCCAAAATCGGGCCGAAGTCCCTGTACTATTATAGTACAGGGTCTCAGACCAAATTTCACCAAAAATGACTAGGTAAGAATTTTCGATTTTTATAATTTTTTCTGATGCATATACATGTTTTTATGTTGTGTAGAAAGTTTGAGCTGATTCCAATCAAAATTGGATTTTTTATGAATTTTTAAAAGTTGCTCCAAACTCTGTTCTCATACTATATATAGTAAGCTAAGCTTATACTCTTTGTTGTGGCAATTCCTGTGATAACTTTTGTGTGATTTTATCTTTTATGAGTAAGAATAATTGGTTTCCTTTTTATGGCTGCTATTATGATACCTGATAGATCTCTTGTTATTGCCATGGAAACATTCTAAATGTCTTGAATGCAATAATTAACGGCTGTTTATTTTTGTAATTAAAAACACCGACCAATGCAGTCTTTTATGACATAACATTAAGAAATGTTTATGCCTTGTTAGCTAGCTATTTTGCTATTTCATCTGCCGAATAACAAGTACAAATTTGCATGACAATGAATTGATCCTTTCTTTCTTTTCCAAAGGTTGCCATACGAGCATTAGGGTTTGAAGTGAAAAAGACAGAAGTACAGAAAATAATTAAAGACTATGACAGAAACGATCAAGGCAAAATCACTTATCAAGATTTTTATGATATAAGTACGACCATATGACACTTTGAAATGAGTTTAATGGTCTTTTTAGTGTCCGAGTGGGTCTCTCAAAGGGATCCTGTTGAGGAAACCCTCAAAGCCTTTAAGCTTTTCGATGATGACGAGTCGGGGAAAATAAGTTTAAGGAACCTTCGCAGGGTTGCTCGAGAATTAGGAGAGAACATGTCAGAAGATGAGCTACGGGCAATGATTGATGAATTTGACACCGACAAAGATGGAGAAAGTTAGTTTTTTGGGATTGTGTGTGGTTGTGTACATGAAAGTCAGTTATGTCTCGACGATGTTGTCGCAAGGATTTGTTAATGTGTTTACCGTTTGTAGATGTACAAGTGATTGTTGTGACATTTCCTTTGTATTGTTATTTGTAGTATCAAAAGAGGAATTCATGGCTATCATGCTTGGAGAATGAACTCAATATTAATGATGAACTTTTGAATTTAATCCATGTCTATCAGATTTATCAATATTATAAGTTATAATGTCATATCCTGGAACTGTACAAAATTTAATAAATCATGTTTTAAAGCACGCGCCGTGTCCATTCCATTTTTCCCTACTGAGTTCAAGTGGTTAATGATGTCCCCTGGCTTGTACCTTCTTACTGTGGTTATTATAGGTCCTGTCCTAGCCTCAGCTAGTTACAATAATGTCAGCAAGGATCAAGTTATCATCGCTGGTCTCTTTGCGTATAATCTTAGCGAGGTTGCCCCGGACAGGCTGCACATGGATAGGACCGCCAACGGTTCTGTTGTAGAACTGGCTGTTAACATGGCCCTCTCTGAGTATAATGAGAGTCCTTTTTCTCAACTCAGGCTCACTCTGTGGCCTTACAGCACAGAATGTGACCCTGCTAGAGCAGTCTGGAGCCTCACTGACGCCCTACGGAGGACTGATCGCTCCGAACCTCTTGTAATCCTGGGCCCTCCTTGCGAGGACTCGACGAACGAGCTAGTCAGACTTACCTCTAGTTCAACTAACATCTTAACTGTCTCCTATGCTTCCACTACACCACAACTCAACAACGCTACTATTTTCAGGAATTTTTTTCGGACTGTTCCCTCTTTTACTAACCTCAATGATGCACTTATTAACCTTCTTGGTTATTTCAGCTGGGAGAATGTCTGCCTCATTCTCGAGTCCCATCCTTACTACAATACAGCAGCAGAGGCTCTGAGTGCAATGAACCTCACAATTGTCGAGTCCATACCTCCTGCTCTCCTCCAGTACATCACAACGAATAGCTACTGTCACATATTTTTAGTTTATTCTCAGCCCGAGTATCTACCGAATATCCTCTGCCAGGCATACAACAACAGACTCATTGGTCAGTACTATCAATGGATATTCGTGGGAAACACTGAGATCAGTGATTTGACAGCAGAGGTGGATAGCATCAACTGCTCTTCGCAAGAGCTTCTCACTGCTGCTCAATCTTCTTTTGTTATTGGTTTTGATGATGACGCTAATAATGATGACCCCTTGGTCGGTATTAGTAGAAGCAAATTTAACAATTCTCTGTTGAACGTGTCTGGGGTAAGTGCTACCAGTAATGATCTTTCTGTAGCTGCTTCTGCTTACGATGCAATGTGGGCCATTGCAATATCACTTAATAATTCTGTAAACAGGCTCAAGGAAAGAAACCAAACCATTAACGATTATCTACCACTGGCAAACAAAGACGTTTCTGCTACTCTCTTTAATGAATTTCAATCAGTTAACTTCCGTGGAGTGTCTACCATGGTAAACTTTACTACCATGACACACAATACGCTAAAGCCAATCAAAATATCCCAAGTGCATCAGAATTCATTAGTAGCTATTGGACTATACAAAACTGATACCAAACTGAACATGGATTATTTCGGTCATCAGGTACAATGGATTGGAGATGGGCCACCTCGAGACAGTCCAGTGTTTATTAATGAGAGTGTCCCACTGTGGGCTCAGATAATCATGTTTACCGTAAGTGGAATAGGAGCTCTTGTTCTCTCTTTCTTTCTTGTCATCAATTTGTGTTTCAGAGAAAAGAAAGTTATAAAAGCATCAAGTCCACACATTAACACTTTGATTCTTGTCGGTTGTCTCCTGGGGATTCTCTCAGTTTCCGTCTACACGCTCTCGTCTATTGAGAGCATAGTGACCGACATTCGCTCCATTTTCTGCAATTCAACACTCTGGCTAGTAAATATAATGTTTACTCTATCATTTGGTGCTCTCCTTGCCAAAACATGGCGTGTCGGTGCAGTTTTTCGTAACCCATGGTCAAAGAGACGCATATACAAAGACTATGTATTATTTTTGATAGTCCTCGTGCTGCTCGCTGTTGACGTCCTCATACTGACAGTATGGATGCTAACTTCTCCTCTGTACATCTCGGTGAGGATGATACAGAGTCCTAGTGCTATTACGGAGCTCTCGTTTTGCAGTCTCTCGGGAGAGGGGGTTTTCTTTGGCATATTGCTAATGGTGTACAAGTCCTTCCTGTTATTACTTGGCTGTTTTCTTGCCACCCAAACTAGAGGAATCAAAGCAACACTTTTCAATGACTCAAGGTTCATAGCCATAGCTATATACATAGTGTTTCTTATAGTAATCATTGGCCTACCGATGGCCATATTCTTCCTGCTAGGCCGGTACATTTTGCTTAGTTTCTTTGCTATAACTCTGACCATCACTGGGCTATCCTTCACCAT